TGTGGAGATTGAGTGGTTCAGAGAGAAATCTGGGAAGGTAGAGTCCGTCCCTGCACTATGTGGGTCAAACACAGACTGGTTAATCTGGCAGCCGCAGACAGTACAGTGCCATGGCACGTCAGAATTTTTAGCATGTTGGTTGTAATTAGAAATGTCGATGCTTTGGCATTGACGATGGAACCATTGCCCACATTGTTCACAGGCAACGCCTCTCTCCTCCACATGTACAACATGGTCACATGCTCCGCAGATCCATGATGACTGGGATTTGGAACTTGATGGGGTATGCAAGGGAAAACCAGCACTAGTAGTAACGTTCGGTCCAGGGTTGGGTTCAGGAGAGTACGAATTTGCCAGGAGGATGCAGGCCAGATACAATAGTACCAGTTTTTGACGGCCTAAGGGCCTCTGAGTAGAGCATGATCGGGATGCTCTATGTAAAATGTCTATAAACACACAGTGAGCAGTACCAGCTATGCGGAAAACTGTCTTCGTACTGAAGTCCAAATTGTCAAATATAAGGCCTATTTCTGGTCTCTCGGCATCACAGATGAACAATTTATTTACCAGAGCCGTTACCACAATTGTATATAGTGTAATATTGTATTTGAACATACCACAAGTCACTCCGTGTGTTTCAGTCTGAGAGCACACACAGCAATATAGTTTTGCTACGTTTCAAGTAAGACAGGAAGTGGTAACAAAAATGGCGTCGAATATCAACAATGCAGTACAAACCCCGAAATCACATAATTAGCTAAGCATATTGAAGACAGTGACTTTTGGCTCATCCCTTGACCAGCAATGGTGACATTTTAGATTATAAATCACAGTTTGTTGAGGATTTACTTGACTAATAATGTCATAGTCAAAGAAATATTCCTCATCAAAAAAAAACATGTACACTAATCCCATCTAACCGGAAGTTCTTTTGAGGGTCTATTTAATTAAGCACAGTAGCAGCTTTAAATTTTGGTAGCACACGGGGAAGAAGATAAGAACATGTCACTTCCGGAAAGATGTGAAATATCTGGAATTTAAATCTAAGGATTTGGAGCTGTACTTAGAGCTGGAGCTCGGGGCTCTGGGGCGGGTTTTTTTTACCCGGTGCTATAGCTGAGCTGATAATTTTTTGACAGCTTGAATTCAACATTTTTTATGTAATAATTTTTTTAAAGTTTATTTTTTATTTTTAAATTTGTAATTTTAGTTTATTAAAAAAAATAATTAACCTTGTTGCCACATTCTTCCTCGATCAATTGAATGGCCTGTATTTTTCTACCAGGTATATTCCCACCACTCTTCTACTACTACCTGCTATTTTGCAACACTCATCAAAGCTTGTTGACCAAACTTTTACAGGTGTTTTTCCTTACCCTAGTACCAGCTCCGTTTCTCAAATCGTCTACAGCCTTTGCCCAAATATCCTAAAAAAATTATACTTTCTCTTCAACAGCTATGTACCCACGCTATTCCACAGGCTATGTTGACCCAGTCTCATTCCAAATATATGGCCTCAATCTTTTTTATTTGCAGCTATGTTGACCAGCTATAACGCTCCAATCTAATTCCAGATTTTAGGCCCGACTTTCTTAACGCTATGATTCTCAACTCTATTCCAAATTTGATTCTACTTTTTTTTTCCAAATACGATGCCCCACTTATATTCCAGCTTTGTGGTGCCACTCTTTCACAACTGTTAAGCCCAACCACTTACCGATGTTTCTCCACCACTCTTCTATCAGCTATGTTGACCCACTCTTCTCTCAGCTATGTTGACCCACTCTTGCACCACCTATGTTTACCCACGTTTGAACCAGCTATGTTGACCCACTCTTACACCAGCTATGTTGACCCACTCTTACACCAGCTATGTTGACCCACTCTTGCACCAGCTATGTTGACCCCCTCTTGCACGAACTACTGTAATGTAGAACGTGTTTACACCACTTTCCTCGTGCCGTGCACTCTGGTTGACCCCACATGAGACGGCGTTCGCATTGGGCGTGGCCCTATTTTTCCTTTCATCTAGCTATTGTTTTCCACAAACATCAACTAAAAATAACTAATATATTCTAATAGAATTTTGGGGAAACTTGGATAATTTACTAGAAAGATAAACAATGTAGATACATTTCTAGAAACGTTGGTTCTACCGACGCATTGATATAAAAAGGGGGTTCAGAGATTCATCGAGACAGATTGGAAATATATATTTTTATTTTTACGAGACAAGTGTTATTATTCTTTGTATACTTATATGTGTTTATTCGCATTCTTCATTGTTCATTATTAATTAGCACATCGTACTAACTGTGTACCGGTACAAGATCTACCATACTCTGTAAGTTGATGATTTTTAATTATATTTCTATTGTTTTATAATTATACTAATACTTAAATATATTTTATTTATTGTTATTAGCAACTGTTTTGAGTGTCGTTTTGTATGCTATTGTATTTCTCTATGATATCGTCCTTTGTTGTGCACTGTTTGAACGAGCCATAACTTAAAACAAGAGATTAATTTCTCAAAAAAGAAGCCAGTGGCTAACACCCACTCTTCTATCAGATATGTTGACCCACCCTTTCACCGGCTATAGTGACCAAATACTCTACTAGCTATGTTCACTCAGTCTTATTCGGAATATACTACCCAACTCTTCTACCATCTATGATGCCCCACATTTTTAGAGTTATGGATACCCACTCTTATTTCAGCAATAATGCCCCACTTATATTCCACCTATGATGACCCGCACTTATTTCAGTACAGTGCTTCTGTACTTAAGTTACATGATGAAATCCTTGTTAATAACATAGGTAAGATTCAATATTAAGCATTTTTCTTTAAACACTAACCACTCCCTTAACAGGCCCTTAACTAAACATTCAACAGAGCTCAAGGGGGTGTAGCAGTGGAGGAGTTCACAAAGATATTCTTAGTAGATCTGAAGCCAAAGGTGTTTGCTCCCAATCTTAGCTTCAAATCGTGTCAACTTCATGCAGTCGTTACCATCTGGCACTTTATTGTTCAATTTGTCTTCGGTACTTTACCGAGAAAATTTACATACAATTATTTCCTTAAAGCTATATTTTTCATATTTAAAAAAAAAAAAAAATGACTTTTTGCGTTTTTAGTTTTGTAATTTTTTTGGCAACATATATATATTTTTTTTGCAGCCAAAAACATTAAAGTACACTATAACTACATTGCATCAAATTCTTTGAGTAATGAATATACATCATTTATTATTTATACTAAGTTATAACAATTTTCCATTAAAGTTTCATTTCAATGAAAACAAGATAAGTTTTCATAAATCGGTTGAATGGTAAAAAGCATTGAGCTGTTGTCTCACGTATATGGATATATTTTCATACTGAATTTAGTAATATATAACTTTATTATTAATTAAATTACAAGCTGCTGGCGGGTCGGAAAAAGCCTTTGGGCTGGATCCGGTCCGCGGGCTGAAGTTTGCCGACCCCAGTTATATCATCATGAAACTTTTATATACGCTCAAATCACAACAAAGAGCTCAAATATAAGCCATGCAAGGCATTGTACTCTAGTGCGACTTCAACAAACTGAACAAATAATAATGAATGTTCAACTCGGGTTTATCTGTGCGCTCAGCCGAACAACCGAAAAATCCGGGCATACACAACCGGAAAATATCCTGATCCAGCCCATGAAAATGAATCGTGTCAGGGTGTTTAAAAAATTTAAACACATTTATTTAACTCCTTTTTTGTACAATGGAATCCATACATAGCAGCTGCCTTCAATGTCTGATTTTGTACATGTTTATATGAGTTTGGGTTGTGCGTAGTTGGTGCTACAACTGTTTTAACTTTGGTGTACTCATGACCGCTTTCATTTTCCCCCGAAGGTAAAAAAAAATTGCTAGTTTCCATGGATGATTCCTGAATTGTAATTCTTTGATCCCAAACCGGTTACCGGGGAAATTATGCACTACGCACAGCCTTATTGCCAAGCCAGCTTACCACATAACAGCAACCCTGTAGTAATCACAAAGTAAGCTGAACCTCAAAACCGTCTTAAATTATATATAGCCTCTCAAACGCTGGTTTATAATATGATATTACTAATCAGAGCGCTGTTATGGTGCTATACTTTAATTACGTAAGCCTACTGAGAATGCCAGCGATTAATGGAGAAATAAGAGTAACCCAATTTTTAGATGTTTATCAATTTCAAATTATCAGATTTTACCTTTTTCGGGGTTACAAGCATTTCAGTTAGGGAGATCGAGATGTTTACCATAAAATATGATAGTAAAGTAAGTTTATTTGTGTGGTTTTCTTCCAAAGACACAACATAAATATCTCATGTTTTTTTTGTCTAGGTTGTCTTAAAAAACTATAAATAATCTAATTTTTAATTAATAACAACAATAATAATAATCTCAGGTTTTTTTCAAAAATACATTTGCCTAAAATTACGTTATGTTCTCAATGGCGTACGATTTTGTATGCATCTCATTTCTCTTATTTCTCGACAGCCAAAGAGAGTTTCGTAAAGAACCAACACTTGGGGTTTGATCGATTTGCCTTTGCATTACAATATGAGGAAAGAAACTTTGTTAATCAAATCCTTTCTATGGGTCTTTGTATTTTTATTTTAATGCTTACATTCACTCAAAATATGTAATATTTTAAGAGTATGTAAATCTTGAACTATAATGTTTTACATAACAGTTACATAAGTAAACGCTGCGGGTGCATTTCAAGTTAAAGGAACATAATACACACGCACAAAATAGAAACACAATTCTAAACAAAAATATTTTATATTTTGTATATATATATAAATATTCAATTCAACAAAATAAATTTTGGAAACGTTTTTAATTATAATTATTGAAATTTTATGTGGACAACAAAAAAAAAATCGGCAATTCCCGAAAATATGTGTCAGATGATGTGTAGTTTATGGACCGTCTCGGGTCATTCAAATATGCTATGGCCAAGAGTTAGAAAAGAAGGGTCATATGCCAGATGCTTATCTTACAATACTTTTCGATTATTAAGATATGATGCATAAGAAAGTCTGAGAGACTTTTGGCTTTTCTTTGAGTTTTGCCTACGGTAGGACATTTTTAAAAATCATAATCTGTGTGGAAGAGGGTTAAGAATCTCTTTGATGGACCTCATCGTAGTTCTTAAAGGTGGGGTTGGGGGGGTGGGGGTTTTGATTAAATAGCGGTCATCCAGATTTGATCAAAGCAAATACATAGCAAAGAAATATGAATATAGTCAATGAAATTGCGGAATAATAAAGTGACATCTGCCGGAAATGTTTTGAGAACCACAGGTTTAAGTTTTGAAAGAAAAATGTATCGCTCATTGTTTGCTTAAAACCTCGTAATTTTATTTGTTTAAAATATTATCGAATAATAAAGAAAAAATGCTTGATCAATGGTATGAAACACGGAAGGTGACCATTTCATTACAGAAAGGTCGTGTCGACATCCAATCAAGCTGCAATGGCACGACAAACTCTGACTGTAAACGCATTGGATCTAACACTGTCGAAATAACATTCAGTGTGGAGGCGTCCTTAGACTTGAATAGCGCAATAGTACGAGCAGTTTGACTAAATCCAGATTCGAAAATAACACCAAGTGAGGAGCACACCTTCCCTGAGATATCAGGTGAAGTACAAGACAATTTGTCATTTCTAGATTTTAAATCTTAAATATAATTTTCATCATTAAAAATTACTACATTTTGTTGTCAAATATAAAGTAACCGAATAAAGTGGATATAATGATTTGGTCATTGTCACTACATTGTGGAGATTCTTTGTGTCCAGAAATAATTTAAGATCATCAAAATCAGCAAAAATTATCCAAAGAATTAAAAATTAACAGCAATTGTAAATACTGAAGATTATTAAAAATCTTGCTAAGAAGTTTTAGGTTCTTACTAATATATGTATCTTTTGGAGTCTACCAACAGCAGTTATAAGTTGTTACAAATCTATGTATCTTTCAGAGTCTACCAACAGCAGTTATAAGTTGTTACAAATCTATGTATCTTTCAGAGTCTACCAACAGCAGTTATAAGTTGTTACAAATCTATGTATCTTTCAGAGTCTACCAACAGCAGCTATCAGATGTTTTACAATGGACAAGAATTCACAGATGCAAACCTCAGCCATGTGTTTGATGTGAGGGGAAATAACTTAGAGTTTACTTTTCACTGCAAAAGTCAAGCCGATCCATGTTTGATTGTGATGTTGGATGATACGATGAACATTGTCCGTGGAAAAGATGTAGCAGTCTACTCAAGAATATTAAAGAACGAGAAGGAAATTAAGTGACAGTAAAATATGCTGCATGTACCTTGGAGGGACATTATCTTGAGAAAACCCTTACTTTCAAAAAAGGTGAAAGAAATGTTTCATGTGAAAAGATTTACTTTCAATACAGGTCAGAGAAATATTTCTCCCTAAAACCTTTACTTTCAATACAGGTCAGAGAAATGTTTCTCCCTAAAACCTTTACTCTCAATACAGTTCAGAGTGATGTTTCTTTAGAAAACCTGTGCAGGGAATATAATTGGGTCAAAACCTTTGCTTCAAATAGAAGGATAAACTATTAAATAGATATTGTCAAAAGGGAAATTTAACTAGTTATACTTGACACAATCTGAACTGACTTGAATGAACTTTAATTTTTATAGGATATCGCATGTCATAAATTTATTTAAATTTAGTAAAAATATTCCTTAAATTGCTAAAATTTAAATACATATTTATTATAATCGGCATTTGGATACATCTATTTATTTTATAATAATGGCATTTCTCAAATAAGTGTAACAAAATATGGACGTTTAAGCTATCCTTCAGATAGAGAAATTCGTCTTCATCCATTAGATATTAACGAAAATAAACTTTTTTTTTCTTCAAAGTATTTTTTGTTTTGTCTTTTTCAAAGATTTAAAATTGTCTGATGAAATCAGCTTCAATACTGATTTTTATGTTTCCAAACTAATTGGAGTGTCCTCAGCTACAATTCTAGTTATTTTTGCATTGTGGTAAGTTCTGTTGTTAAAACCAATGTTAATTAAAAAGTGGTTCTGATCATTGCTAATAATAATAAAACTTGCAACAATTATCAGCACCTCCGACTTTGTCTAAACGTATCCCATCAATTGACATCGCATTTATTTAAAGTAATTAAATAAAAAATATCGAATTTAGAATCAACATAAAATGTGACGTGTTTTTTTATTAATGGATCTCAAAATGTGCAAATAATGTCATGTTATTGAAAGTCAATATTTGTTGCACTTTTCTCTCTTTCCAAATTTCAAACTCACTGTACTGAAAAATCTGATGTGTTAGTTCAATAATTGACTTAAAATGTATTTTTTTTTAATTTAAGGTGCTCTTCTGTTATGAAGTAGATTTATGAAAGGAAAGAACTCTAAACACTTTTGTTGTATTTCCCTTTAGCTATGTCAATAAAAAGTTCAAGATTTTGAAAACTCCGGTAAGTTAAGAAAAAGTGTAAAGAATCTTATTCATTATATTTTCTTTGTTATGACTTTATACGATTTAAAATAAATATAAAACGGTTCGTTGTAAAAAAATTTTTAAATCGTATCACGAATTATTTAGTGGCAGTGATTCAACTGAGTTATGGTATCATGTCATGTTAAAACAAATAAAACATTAAGCCCAATACCATTTGGGAGGACAGTACTTTTGAGATTGAGGTTATTATTTTTTTTTTTTATCAAAGAAACATTTTTTTTAACATATTAGATAACAGAAAGTAACAATTTCTGCTTTCAATTTCTTTTAAAACAAATAAACTTGTAACAGAGCAGTTCTTAGGAGTTTGTGGGCCCTAAGCATGGAGCGTAGGTTGGGGGCCCCGGAAGGGGGGGTCCGAGGGTGGAGCTCCCTCGAACTGAGGAGAAAACACCACCCACCACTGCGGCACCTCCATTCTGCCTTCATCAATGTTTCCTCTTTGCTCGCGTGTAACCACTAACCCTATTAATAATTCCGCCACTAGAGAAAATGTGTTCTTCTGAAATATATGGACATGCAGGTGGCAGTGGGGCCCTAGGCGGTTGCCTAGTTTGCCTATATGCCTAAGGAGGCACTTATTTCCCCAAAGCTCCCCCCTGCTGCTTCCCTTCCCCTGCCTCCGCATTCAACTCAGAATGATAAATTTCAGGATGAGGAAGGTAACGTGAGTGACACAGACGGCTGCAGTGCCGGTTAAAAGAAAAAAAACTGGGGGATCGAGGGCGCCTCACGGGGGCCCCCTCACGTTCGGGGCCCTACGCGGATGCGTAATTAGCGTATGCCTAAGAACGGGCCTGATCGTAAATATGTCTCTATAATTCAGACATCCTGTCGTCATGTGAAGTTTTTTGCTTCAGGTACCAGCCTAAACAACTCATCTTTCTCTAACATTATTTTTTTCTAAGAACTATTTGTAAGGTGGGTTTATATCGCGCAAATATTCAAGAAAGTTTTATGCGGGAAGTTCTAAGGGTTTCTTCCTTGGTTCATCAGAGCATCTCGTTTATAAAGTCATTAAATTCACTATTGACGCTTATCGACTCTCGAGGCTGATGCACTGTGAGCACTTCCAGCATCATTACACGATCTATGATCCACCCAGGAGATCTACACTCAAGCCATTCTCGAGGCTTATGTTAAACACTTCATACGGCCAGCTGCCCGAATCCCTATTTGAGACAATTGCAATTTGCGACCATTTTAGCGAGAGTGCATTCCCTATACGGGGATGCAATGGTAGCTGTACCCACTATGCCCAGGAAAATGTTACAGAAATAAAATAAAAATATGCGTGCCAGTATCAATATAAATTGAAAGCAATTTAATTTTTAACATGGCATATAATCATGAAACATTTTGAATTGTGCAGAACATGTGTGCAGTGAGACGAAACCATGTAGAACATGATGGAAAGCTACGTGAACTTGATCAGCGTAAGTATTTCTTTTTGTAAGTGGCATTGATTAAGTTAGTTTGTATAAAGTTATTTACATGGTTGGAGTCGCTCAGAAAAATGACAACGATTTAATCTGTCATCACTGTGACAAGGTTGTTAGTGGACAAATGCCGGCACTGATACATTTAAAATGATGAAGAGAACAATATGTAACTAATTGTAACGACATTCATTTTTAAATCTAAAACTCAAGCAATGTTTTTAATTTATCAATCAACACAAAGTGAAAACTAATAGTGGAAAAAAGAATCTATTAGTCCTACTTTCAATAAAGACGCTAACTACAACGATGGCGAATAAATGTGGGTAACGTCTATAAAATTGCGTTACAATATAAAAGATTCCGAAGATTGTCCGGTGGACCAGATTGATTATAAGGGGACCGGCAATACACTTCTCAGTGTTGTTGATATTAATCTGGTAAGATACTTCTCACCGTTGGAGACTTTATCTGGCAACACATTTCTAAGTGTTGGTGACATCTGGTAATACGCTTCTCACAGCTAGTGACATCATTCACTAAACACAAACCATCTAACATTTTAAACTACTGTTATGAAGATATTTCATTTCTTCTTTATCAGTGTGTTCATCAAATACAAGCAGTGAACATCCTATCAAGAGGGAAATGTTTAAAGAAACAGGTAAAATAATGTACAGATTCATTTTTATGACATCTGTAATCCTATTTCAATCTTTGAAACCATTTGGACAATTTCATGCATTTTATCATTTAATTCACTATTAAAGGCATACCTTAAAACGATTTGTCCTCAACCCTGATATTTGCGACAAGGGGGATTGGCCCTCTAATCCCCCCCCCTTAGCAAGGCATTGGCTATATATAGGGATAGGGGTCTCAGTGAATTACTGTGTCCAGGAATTCCGCTGCTTTTAATGACGCCCCTGTATTTTAATGTCATGGTTATGTCTCTTTTGATAATATTTTTATATACAGCGCGGTGAGCCAAGCCCTAGGCTAGGGTACCACGCTATATAAGACCACTTATTATTATTATTATTATACGTTACTAAGCCACGATTGCCTTTGCTCAGTAACTCAAGATCATCGATAATAAAACACCGAAAAAACAAATATAATATGTATTGTATTTTTTTTTTAATTCAGAGATAACAATACATATCTTTGTTAATATTAAAGTTGAAAACATTAGAAAACAGAGACGAGACTCCACATTTCAAGCTCATACTTGTTTGATGTTAGGTGACAAAACAAATTATGATGATTCTCATTTAAATGGTTGCTGTAAATAAAAAAAAGATTGGGTTGGTTTTGTTTGGTAAGGGAATTACACAGATGATCCTATTTTTGTATTGTTGAATTCAACAGTACTACAATTTAGTACACATCTTATTCTAACAGTGATATATTTATCCGTCTGAGTCAATAAAATTTATGATTAAAAATAATTTATATATTTATACTGTGAGAGATCATTGTTAAGATGGACATACCAACAATATATTTCGTTGAATATAAAGTTGCTCGTAACAATGGTGCTGCAGTGTGTTGACAACAAATGCTCAAATTTAATTGTTATCTTCTCTGAGAGTTGGTGAATACATAGTATAGTGCTTCTTATAACTGTTCTAATAACTGTTCTAATAACTGTTCTAATAACTGTTCTAATAACTGTTCTAATAAATTTTCTAAGAACTGTTCTAATAACTGTTCTAATAACTGTTCTAATAACTGTTCTAATAACTGTTCTAATAACTGTTCTAATAACTGTTCTAATAAGACAAGATTATTGACAAGATTATTGACAAGATTATTGACAACTAATAACTGTTCTAATAACTGTTCTAATAACTGTTCTAATAACTGTTCTAATAACTGTTCTAATAACTGTTCTAATAACTGTTCTTATAACTGTTCTTCTAACTGTTCTTATTCCTATAACTGACCTTTTAAATGCTCTTATAACTGTTATCATATCTGTTCATATAACTGTTCTTATTACTTTTCTTATAACTATTCATATAACTGTTATTAATATAAGATTTGTGAGTATCAATCCTTGGAGCTTATTTGGCTTCAAATCTAGTTTAGACTCTAAAAAAAATGATAGTTAAAACAAATAATATAAAGCTAATATGGCCTGTACTAAACTTAATAATCCATGTCTATATTATTACAGTGAATGAAGTAGAGAGCTTGTTTAAGAAAAAACAAAATTAAGATGACGTCATTAATAGTTCACTGTTATGGTGACAGAGAGCAGAGGCGGTGATATCGTGGTAGGCGTGATGTTCCCTGGTGAGACCGAGAAAACGCCCATGGTGATCATTATTGCTGATACAACTGGACGTTACCTCACTGTCGCTGAGGTATTTGTCTAAGTTCATTTTTCTATTTGTAATTTTTTTTCGACAAGTTTTTATTATAACTAGCTTTGATGAGATTCATTGGAATGCCAGATATGAAAACATTTTGGTTACATTGTAACCTAAATAGTGTTTACAAAAATAGATCACAACATTCCTCAAAATTAGAAGATGGTCAAAGATTAGTGGAATATACTTCATTGATCAGCTTGTTAAATTTAATTAATTTTTTAAAATGTTTATCAACCAGGTCAAGAACCAAATATTGGAACACAAATACATACACGACCCTGAGAACTACGAACTTTTCAGTGAGATTGAAACGTGTGACAGAGAGAAACTGGAAGACAACAATAAGATTGATGTCTACATGAAATATCTAACAGAGAATTCCAGCAGCTTGCGTTTGTCCGTCTCGAGTTAAGCCCCATTTCATGACGTTGATACAAGTGCGCATAACATGTCTTGCAGGTGACATGAAGCGTCCAGTATCTATCACACGCGTGTTAAAGATTGATGATACAAAGTCACAGAAGCTAAAGTCATGGCATTGGACTTTTTAACTTAAAGTTATATTTTTTGTCAATTTCAGTTTTAGTTAATTTTTAAAAAAAATGTATGCTTTTAAAGGTGTTTTTAAATGCAAGGCAAATGCTTAAGACTTACTCAATAAGCTACGTCTGTTAAAAAAAAAAAAAAAAAAAAAAAGACAGAGGAGATCTTTTATTGGAAGTGCTATTGTAAATTTGAATAAAAAAATTAATAAATAAGTTGTTAATTGTTTTATTTAACAAAGATGTTTATTGCGCAGTATACATATGTATTTTTTCTTTCTGCCCCCTCCTCCCCCAACCGACTTCTGGTCACATGACTTCTTGATACCGCGCGTCTTTTTACATGACTTCTTGGCACCACAATTATTGCCTCAACACTTCTTGGCACCACAATTATTGCCTCAACACTTCTTGGTACCACAATTATTGCCTCAACACTTCTTGAAACCACAATTATTGCCTCAACACTTCTTGGCACCACAATTATTGCCTCAACACTTCTTGGCACATACTTCTTGTTTCACCTCTTCTTGCCACCACACTTATTGTCTCACCTCTTCTTAGCACCACACTTATTTTCTGTTGAAAAGTGACAAAATACTGAATGTTGCGCATTGTTTTGCACACCAAATTTTGTTGTGTATTGACGTCACGTTGTTATGCAGTCCCTGTCTTCTGTCCATGGTGGTAGAACTCCATGTTGTTTTCTTGAAATTAAACGTTGAACTAACCTTGATGGTTGCTTGTTACATTATCTTCCTTGTAAAGTGGATTAGCAACGTGTATTAGCAACATAGTATTTTCAACAGGTTATGGGCCCAGATAGCGTTATCCTGTGCTAAGCTGTTGCTGATTCGATTTTTGTGTGGTTTGTATTCGGAATCGGTGTTCGCAGAATTACCGGAATGGCAAACATGAGCACAAGCATCATTCCTCTTGTTGGTGCAAATTATTCGACCTGGAAAATTCAATGCCAGATGGCCTTGATGAAGGATGGACTCTGGGGGATTGTTACTGGGTCTGAAATTGCACCTGACGAAGCTGAATCGGAGAAGGTTGCTAAATTTACTGTAAGGAGAGATAGGGCTTTGGCTATCATTGTGTTGGCGTTGGACACTTCATTGTTGTATTTAATCGGGAATCCAGTTGAACCCAAGATTGTCTGGGAAAAACTGAGGGATCAGTTTCAAAAGAAGACATGGGCTAACAGACTGGCGCTGAGAAGGAGATTACTTACAATTAGAATGAATGATGGGGACTCTGTGCATG